TACACCCAGCTCCTGCTCTGTCCCAGGAGCAGCTCCAGCTGCTGCCGAGGACAAGATGAGTTCCTGCCCTCGCGGTGGTCCCACGAGAGCATACCCCGGGCTCTGTGGGATCCAGGAAGAATGGAGTTATCTATCCTTTGGTGGTGGGAGAAGGTGGGATTTCATGGAGAAGGCAGTGTTTGGCTTGGGCGTTGAAGGCCAAACCGGGAGAAGTAGGCGCTCTTGGTGGAAGTCACAACCTGTTAAACTGGGGAGGTGGGCCAGTAGGGGCCCTGTCCCAGCTCTTCAACAATGGTAACCTTGCTGCCTTGTCTGCAGGAAGACAACCCACTGGCAGTCTGATGCTCTGTGATTCGGCCCAAATCAAAGCAGCTGGTTTTGAAGTTATTATAGCAAAATTTAGACGCATGAACGGAATAGCTTTTGGCTCAGTTTCTGGCTTTTCCACTTGGATTCTCAGAACCCTCCAGCCCTTCTCCTCTTCTTACCACCCGTCAGCCTCCAACCTGTCCCTTCCAAGGGAGTTTTACGAGTCACACGTTCTCGTTGTGGGGATTTTGGAAAACATAGAAGTCAGCATCCGTAAACCCACCTCCCGGGGACACCACTGTTAGCATCTTGCATTTTATTTTAACCTTCTTTAAAAATGTGTGGGCCAGGCACGATGGCTCACGCCTATAATCCTGGCATTCTGGGAGGCCGAGGTGGGAGGATCGCTTGAGTTCAGGGGTTCGAGACCAGCCTGAGCAAGAGCGACACCCCGTCTCTAATAAAAATAGAAAAATTTAGCTGTGCAACTAAAAACAGAAATAATAACCCAGGCGTGGTGGCTCGCGCTTGTAGTCCTGGTTACTCAAGAGGCTGAGGCAGGAGGATTGCCTGAGCCCAGGAGTTTGAGGTTGCTGTGAGCTAGGCTGATGCCACAGCACTCTAACCTGGGCAACAGAGCAAGACTCTGTCTCATAAATAAATACGTGTGTTTCAAGATGAAATTCAAATGAATGCAATTCTAATGAGATTTGGGCTGGGTGGGAGAGAGCTTAGGTGCTCCTTGCTGTCCGTCAGATGGGGTAGGGGTATAGTTTCCAAGATTTTTGAGGGCACCTTCATTTTGCTTTTTTGATTGTTTCAGGGAGTGGCTGAAGCTGAACTGGGACAGAACCTGAGTCGGACTTTCAAAACCTTCTTCAGAGCAAGTGACGAGGTGAGGCAGGCGGGGGAGCGGGACGTCTGGAGGGGGCTGCCCTGCAGGAAGCAGGTATCCGGGGTGTGGCAAGGCCTAGGAACTAGCCCCTGGCCTCTTCTTTGACTTCTACAGTCAAGGTTATTGGGGTCCCCACTCTGCTGGTTAGTGGAGAAAAGTCACATCCTCACTGTCACCCAAGATTGGAGAATGCTTGTACAGTTTGGAAATGATGCTGTTATCACCATTGCCGTTTGAACATGCATAATTGACTTATCCAAGTCCAAAACTAATGGATACCTCTAACTCTTTTCTTCAACCACCAAAGCAGTTTAGAATGCTTTATAACTTGGTCACCCACACCATCCTGTCTCGTTAGTCGATAGTCACTGTCACTGTTGTTTTTTTATATACAGTCAGTGCCCTGATGAGACTGTCCCAAGCTTTCCAGTTTCTTTGCGGATCACTTCTTGCGTCTCACTCATTCACATTGAGTTCAGTTTCCTTCTTCCTGAAGTACCTGCTTTAGTAGCTCTCTCAATAAGAGTCTGTTAGTGGTTTTGGTTAACTCAGAGTTTTTTGGCCTGAAAATGTCATTATTTTGCTTTTAATCTTGAAGAATGTTTATCTGAGTATAGAATGCTAGGTTGACAATTATTTTCTTTTACAAGCTTCTGTCATTGCTTGTGAGAAAGGGCCTCAGGTCTATTAATTACACATTAATGGTCTTTAGGCAACTAATGGTCTTATATCTTTGACATTTTCTTTTTAATTTCGATGAACAGGGCTTTATTTTTTTTTATTTGTGAAAGTGGTTTTTGTTTGTTTTGTTTTGCTTTTTAAGACAGGGTCTCACTCTGTTACCTGGGCTTGAGTGCAGTAACACGATCATAGCTCACTGCAACCTCAAACTCCTGAGCTCAAGGGATCCTCCTGCCTCAGCCCCCAGAGTAGCGGGGACAACAAGTGCGTGCCACCACTCCCAGCTAATTTTTAAAATTTTTTTGTAGAGACAGGATCTTGCTATATTGCCCAGGCTGGTCTTGAACTCCTATCTTCAAGTGATCCTCCTGCCTTGGCCTCCCAAAGTGCTGGGATTATAGGCATTAACCACCACACCTGGCCCTTGGTTCTTTTTCAGATCTGATCAGAATTTCAGATTCTGATCTCTTTTGATAAAGGCTTGTTCTAGTCTTATTTTCTAATTCCTTCTTTTATGTCTTTAATAATTTTAAGCATGTTCATTTGTCATTCTCTGTCTCTCTCTGCATGTTCTACTATGCTTTTGGGGAGTCTTATTTTACTGTTTGCTACATTTACTGTCTCTTGCTATGGGCAAGTATGTGTGTGAGAATGTGAGTTTTGTAATTTTGGTTTGTGAGCTCATCTTCAGAAACACTTAATCTGTACCAGTCTGCTTCAGTTTGGATTGAGGAAATGACCCTCTTGAGTGGTTGAGGATTTCTTCTGCCAGGCATCCTGGTGGCATTACCAGCCCAGGCTCACTCTGTTGTTGCTCACTTCACACCTTGAGAGAGTGTAAATTCAAATCCCAGCACTTGGGAAGTCAGGCCTACAGCTATGAATTCCCAGGGTGCTTTTTTTGGGGCCCCCCTCGGAACGCCCCCTTGAACCCCCCGGTCGAAAGGGCCGAATTTTTTCCAAGCCACCCCTCAAACCCTCAACAAAACAAAGCCCCCAAAAGGAACGGAATTAACGGGGAAGGGCCAGGAACAACCCAACTCTAACTCCCCACCCACCAGAGGCCAGAGGTCTCATCTCCTGTTCCCACTGGTTGATGGACCCAAGTTCTTACACCGCCATGGTCTGGGAGGGCTCTGGGGCAGCCTTGGCCCCGAGCTTTGGTTATCAGCCATCGTCCTCTTCACTCTGACTCCTGAGGAGGCCCCTTGCTCTCTCGGGAGCTTAGTACATTAGTCTGCATGGCACTCACGGGTCTTTCGATGTGACAGCGTTTTCGGGTGAGCTGTTCCAGTATATTTTCCTTGGCTTCCCCCGTGACATCATTTCTAACTCTGTTCTTCCTACAGACTGTTTTAGCCGTGCACAGAGTCCGTGAAATGGGTAAGAGACATTCTTAGGAGAGAAGGGAGGTGGGAGGGCCACATCTGGAACCAGCTGAACATGACACGAGTGTTTCTCCCTCTGCCTGCTATGGGCGGAAACCCGGAACCTTCCAACCCTCAGGGTGAACGGCGCTCACTCTAACCCCAGGCCTGACCACAGCCCCAGGCCCTTTCCTCTCGGGATCTGCGGATGCCAGATCTTTCTGGAGGAGTCTTAGAGCTTGTCCAGGGCAATCCCTGCCCTCCACTGATAACAACCCAAGCCCGGGATAGAGAACTGACCCCCGCAGGGTCACCCGGGGCACGCAAGGCAGCGCGGGCCGGGCCCCTAGCTAGGTCTCTCCACCATGGTGCGCTGGCCTCTCCTCCACCCAGGCTGCACGTTCCAGTCATTTCCGGTTCCTTCACTCGAGGACTGTTCTTGTTGCCCCTCCTGGATTGGATGTGAGTGAGGAGTCGGAGTGGAGACCAGACTGGGCTCATTCCTTGGATCCAGCACGCTTCCCATACAACCTTATTTTGGCCCCGACACTATGGCCTTGACGTTATTCACTTGTATTTGTATTAGTGACGATGATGGGAACCCCTTGCTTCTGCACCGACTGCGTGCATCAAATGCTAGACTAGCCGCCTTCAGATGTCCCTTATTTAGGGATCCTCATAGCATCCCTAAAAATATTATTATTTCTGTTTTACAAATGAGGAAAGTGGGTCTCAGAGCATTAAGTGACTTGTCTAGAGAGGCCGAGCTGGAGGTAAACTCCTCTGCCCTAGAGGCCACGCTCTTGTCACTGCTCCAAGGACATCTCCTCCTTCCTTCCCCGCTACGCCTCCGTTCCTCTGTTCATTCATTCACACGGTGGCTTGTCCATTCACTCCCCAGCTGTTTCAAGCACACGCCTGGGGACACGGGCTGGGTGCCACAGATACCCAGGTGCGCAGAGCAGAGCAGCTGCCCTAGGGGAGCCCAGGGTTTTATGGGGACACAGGTCGGCAGGCGTGAGGGGAGGAAGCAGCTGGGGTGTAGCAGAGGGGCACTGAGGCACAGCGGACCAGAGCGCGGCCTGTCGGGAGGCTTGGGGTTGCTTCCTGGGAAGACAGCCTGATCACACACCCAGCTCCTGTTCCTCGGGGCTTCCTGGGCCTGAGAATGGTGCAGGCACCGGCGTGCATACCCCTTGGGGCTGTGCCTCGTGAAGGGCAGTCATCCCGGGGCTGCCAGCTGTCATCTCAGGTCATCGTCAGGGGGGATCAGGGACCACCCTGAAGACAAGGACAGCGAGGACACCACAGGGGGGTCTGCCAGGCGCACAGGAGGCAATAGGATAGGTGCCCCCCGGCCTAGATTTTCTTCCTGCCTAAGAGGAAAAGTGGAGCAAGCATTTGTGAGAATTCCAAGAATCTCACGGAGATACTTCAAAAGGGCCATAGTTAAGCTGTTTAGAAAAGTTGAATCCAGCAGAGAGCAGGGCCTGGGATGCAGCGGACATCTGCCCGACCCGAGCTGTGCGCAGGTGTTTGGAGGGCAGCTGTGGTTTGTCCTGCGGCACTGGTGACAGCCCGTGACACCAAGGCCCGGGGTGCGGCGACCGTGAGGTCACAGCTCAGAGCTCTGGAGGAGATGGGCTCACTGTAGGGAGGGAAGAGAGCAGATGATGAAGGCACATGAGGCCCTTCGCATCAGTTCAGAGGGGACTTGGGGGCCGTGAGGTGCCTGGCCTGGAGGTGGGAAAATCCACAAGTGGCTTTTTGCAGGAGGACTCTTTGTGAAGACCCCAGAAGAGCCCAGCCTCAGCAGGATGGTCACTGAGGAGGAAGTCCAGTTCTACGTGCAGCAGTTCAAGAAGTCTGGTTTCAGGTACAGAGAGAACAGTGCCCCGGACCCACATGCGAGATGGTCAGCCCAGAGGGACTCAGCTCTCAGGGTGGAGGGTGAGGCTCCATTCCCCTCCACCACAGCCCTCGTGAGTGCCAGGCCAGCCTCTGCTTGGATGCCTCCAGTGTCGGGAGGCTCACCACCTCACGGTGCTCAGCCTGCTCTAATTTGGGGTAGCTCAGCTTGCTCCCCTTACGCTTGCAGGCTGCCCGCAAGGCAGAGGTTTTTAACGATTTTTTCAGTCATGACCCCTCCAAGAATCAGATGACAGCTCTGGACTCTTTCTTCAGAAAAACACAAATAAACTCAAAAAGTGCATACATGGTGCCTTCGCACCACTTCCCAATGTCCAGCTCAGAGGGGACACCTTTGCACCACCTCCTGCTGTCCTTTTCACTGGGCTCCTGGGGAAGGGAGTGGCCCCTGGATGATGTGGGGAATAAACCAAGTTCCCCACCCTCAAACGCGACATCCCTCGGAGGATCCTATAGGGCCAGCTCCCGCGTGTCCCTAAAGCCCTCAGAGGCTGTCGGCCCTCAGTGGAGCCCAGTGTCCCTGCACAGGGCCTCGCAGAGTAAAGCTTGGCAAACGTGCCGGACAGTGAGGTGACAGCCCTGGCCCTGTTCTCTTGCCCCTGCAGAAAGCTTTGCTCTTCCTGGGATGCCAGCTCCGTGCAGAGCGCGTTCTTGCTGGGGGCTGTAGCAGAGCCTTCTGCCCAGAGCTGTCCTAATTTTACTTTCTGATCGTTCCCCAGAGGCCCCCTAAACTGGTACCGAAACATGGAAAGGAACTGGCGGTGGGGCTGCAAAGGCTTGGGACGGAAGGTGAGAACTGCGTTCGGTGTCACTGCCGTGGGAGCCACTCTTGGGACTTCCCATTGGCCCAACCCCAGTCCAGAGCTGGGGGACAGACCTGCCGGCTTCCTTCTTTCCCTCTGGGTTTTGGGGGTGACTCCACTCCCGGGTTTCCTATGGAATGGTAGAGGGTGGCGTGGGGGACAGAGAGGGCTGTGTCCATGTAACTGCAGCCTCCATCCGAATGTCCCGGTCTCCTGGCGGTGCCCCAGGCCAGGGCAGCAGATGGCCCAGGGTGGACAGTGGAGCCCCAACCCCAGAGGAGCGTTCCGTGCTCTGAGAGAGATATGGCTTTAGCCTCTGGTTGTGTCACCTTGAACAAGTCAATCTCTGGGTCTCAGTGTCCTCGTTTGTCAAGCAGAAGATGGGTTTCCAATCTCTGGGTCTGCAAAGGGGGTAGCGAGGTCCCAGTTAGCATCAAAAACAGTAAAAACCTAAGGGAAATCACGTTTTCCCCCAACGAGATAACGCGGGTGGCCAGGCTTTCATCAGCTCACTTGGCAGTCCTGGCTGTCTCGCTGGGCCGCTCAATATGAGTGATCACTCCTGCTGTGTGCCAGGCAGCGGTGCCAAACCTTGGGGATGGCAAACAAAACAGATCAGGCCCTGACCTCCTGAAGTTAGGTCTCGAGGCCGTAGAGTGTGTGACCTAGTGGGTAAGAGTAGGCCGGGAAGCGAGTCAGCCTGGGTCTAATTCCTGTGTGACCTTGGGAGAGGCGCTTAACTACTCTGATCCTTTCTTGCCTCTTCTGCAATATGGAAACAAGAACAGTGCCTCCCTCGCAGAGCTCTGTAAGGTTGAAATGGGCTAATTCACGTAAAATGTCAAGAACAGGCACACGGTAGTTCAATTAATGTTCTTGTCGTGATCATCACTGTAATCTGTGACTGCGGTTGGGTAGACAGAGTCTCAGAGCATGGAGGGACACGATGACAAAGATGTCTGGAAGGTGAACCCCGATGGCGCTAAGGTTGGGAAGCCGCTTCCTCTGCGGTTACCTCCCTCCTCGCCCGCCTCCTCCCACGCTCCCACCTGGTTTACGTTTTAGCTCAGAACATTCCAGAGTTTACAGAACCTCACAGCAGCCTCAGGATTAGCTTCGGCAACAGTCACTTCCGTCCTTGCCCTGGTCCCGTGGTGAGACAGACACCATTATGCACGACAGCGGAAAATAGCGCAGGTTCCTTCTCCGGGCCCCGGGGAGGCTGCCTGGGCGTTGCGACGCAGGTCGTGCGAGCGCAGGGACAGTAAAAGAGGCTTTCCCGGCCTCCTCGGCCCCAGCGTGCTCCCCTCCTTTGCCCGTGGACAGAAGGGAAGTCGTTTGTGTCCCAGTCGCTCACCGGAACCTCAGCCGCCCTTGCGTTCGTTGAATGCAGAGAAGGGAGGAATCTTGACCTTCATTCAAGGGCATTTTCCTCCCTTCTGGTGCCATTGGTTCGGCTTCGTGGCATCGGCCACACAGAGCAGGCCAGCACACGTTCTTACACACGTGCGCACACGCCAAGCCCGTGTGTGTCGCCATGGTGCTGAATCTGCCCTTCTAAAGATCTCCAGTAAGAACGGTGACGCCTTCGTGCCACGTCCGGCACACGCAAAGCCAGGGCCACCGTGGTGCGGCGGGCGGGGGTCTCCCCGGGGAGCCGTGGGGAGGGAGCCGGCCGCTCCATCTCCTGCTCTCCCCCGCAGATCCTGATCCCAGCGCTGATGGTGACGGCGGAGAAGGACTTTGTGCTCGCTCCTCAGATGTCCAAGCACATGGAGGGCTGGGTGAGGCCTGGGCCCGCACGGGGGTCTCGGTGCAGCCTGCCCAGAGGGGAGACGGCAGCGGAGGACTCACCCCGCCATGCCAGAGGGGACGGCGGGTTGGGACACCTCCCTGACAAGGGGCTTCCTTGGTGACATCACTGTCACCTCCTGCCAGCAGCAGCCCTGACCGACACTTCCTTCCCCTTCCACTCATCCTTCCTTTCCTAAGTAACGCAGGGCCCTCCCCCAGAGCAGAGGGGTGGGTGTCCCCGCGCGGCCCCACCCTCATTGCACTGACCTGAAACGGACCCATCTGCTTCTCCCTTTACCCTCTGGCTGGGGTTTCCTTTCAGATCCCCCACCTGAAGAGGGGACACATCAAGGACTGTGGGCACTGGACACAGATGGAGAAGTAAGGAGATTGGGGGTCCCTGGGAGGGGGGACGGGGCTCCTGTTCGCCTGCCACCGAGCCTTCCCGGTCTGAGTGTGCCGGTCGTACCTCGGCCTTGGCGGGGGTGCGGGGCCCGGACACGTGTGTGCAGCCTTTTGTCTCCCTCCCAGGCCCGCCGAGCTGAATCAGATCCTCATCGAGTGGCTGGAGGCCGACGCCCGGAACCCGCCGGTGGTCTCGAAGATTTAGTGCCCGGCATGGGCCAGCGCCCAGCAGGTGCACCCATGCCCCGTCTGCCGGGGCACTGTCCTTCCTGTCCAGAGGTGGCCCTGCACGCGTCTCCGGTGACCAGCAGCATTGTTCTGAAAAGATTCACAAAAAAGTGATTTTCTTTGAATGCAGTGAATCAAACTTGATGTCATTTTAGATCCAGGAGAAATCGGGTGTTATTAATCCTCCAGGTACAAATATCGTCCCTTTATCTCTAAGAACCATTAACGTCCTGTGGGGGGATAGAATGGGGCGGCCAGATGGTGATTTGTCTTCGACTAACCGATTCATAGTTTTGCAGCAGAATCAGCCGTTCATTTTGGAGCATCTCAGTAGCACTGAGGCTGCTTTATCCAATAAAGCTAAGACGACAGTGCCGTTGCTCTTTGTGTTCTTGGGACAGCAGAGTAATTGTTCAGAGAATGACACTTTCCCTCTGCTCTTGAGCCCTGCTCTGGTGGCCCAGGCGCTGTGTGATCTAGACCAGCGCTGTCCGGGCTTCCTGGGAGGGGGCGGTGGTCTGCTGTGCCCTGTCCCGTGGAGTAGCCACTGGCCACAGGGAGCCGCGTGCCCTTTCTCCCGACTTCCCCAGCAGGGTTTACTCGGGTACACACGTGCACCACGCACTTGAAATGTGCTAGTGAGACTGAGGAAGTGAGTTTTAAAGTGAATGCTTCCACCTGCCACCTCCCGCACCGAGTTCCCAGGCTGGGTCCCACGCCCCTTCTCCCTGCTCCCCTAGCACGCACAGTCTGCACGACCGCCCCGCTGCACTGGCTGCAGGGGGAGCTAGCGGAGGACGTGGTCTCTGCAAGCTGAGTTCCCCATGACGATGAGCGTAAGTTGGCCAGGCCACACGGGCATGTGTGTCCAAGTGTGGGAACACCCCGAGGGGTGGTCGTCCTCGTACCCCTGTGTGCTTGGAGTCGCGTGTACCACCTCTGATCCATCCAAAGGGTCCTTCCTATTTTAACAGATGGGGAAACTGAAGTTTAGATAACTTGCCCAGGGTCTCTTGGCTGATTGGTGGCAGAGCCTGCATTCGGACTCATGCTCTCTGATTCCCAAGGCTGGGTTCTTTCTATGCCAGATTTTCTCCTTTCTAACTCTGGAGCCAGACCACCTAGGCTAGACATCTGGCCTGCCGCTTACCCATGTGTGACCTCGAGAAAGGGTTTCTGTGCCCCAGTTCCTTCACCTATAAAAATGGAACATTAGTGGGACCTAACTCGTATTAAGTATGTTCATATACACCGGGTTCTACCACAGTGCCTGGCACAGAGGAGTGCCAGTTTATCCCAGGACAAGACCTCCGAGGCTTCAAGTTTGCAGACACATCGCCACCTTCATCCTTCTGCACTTGAGAACTAAGGGGCTCAGTTAAAAGACAAGCCTGTGACCTAGGGGAGTGGCTATATCAGCCAGATGACGGGATTTTGCTAACTGGGAGTGTCCAGGCTCATTTGTAAGGGAGCAGTTAGCGGAAAGGAAGGAAGAAAAATCTGAGAACACCCTTCACTAGAAGAACAAACAGGCAAACCTGTCTTCCCTGATAGTCTCAGTGTTGAATATCCTATCCAGTAATTACCATAAGCCATCAAAAAGGCCTCAGAAATTCCACTCTTTTGGCAACTAAGGGTCAAATAACTCAAGTCCACAACATGGCAGCAAAAATATAACCACTTACACAAGACTGAGGGCCATGAAGGACAAAGGGCTAGAAAAGGACTTTAGGTTATTGGAGGAAATACTGGAATATCCAGAGCTGTGCTTCCCGGTCTGCTTTGGGGAGCTCCGGGCCACACGTCCGCTGCTACAACCGTGGCAGCAGAGGGGATTAACCGGGACAGGCCGGGAGGATTTTCAGATGCCGTTTTAAATACAACTCGCCTGAAGTGTGTTCAAAATGATTTCATTATAAAATGTTATTATTTTAATTTAATTTTTTAATTGTCAAATGATCGAACCTATGGTTTCAGGCCTGGAAGTGACTGTAAGCGGGTTTCCATATTGTTCATACCAATACTACCATCGATACGAATTAAAAGCAAACAATGGTTAAAATATCTGGGTCAGAAATTCAAAGTTTTTTTTTTCCAACAGGAATTGGGTGAAAAACATGCCTCCCTGCTCAAAGGAACCCATCTGGCCACAAATGATAAAATAACTTCCCTACCTTAGCAATTTTAAGGGTTTCTGCCAAGTGTTGGCGACTGCACCCGGGCGTGTGTCTGTGGGATCAAGGCTGCTTGTCCAGGTGATCCATCCCTGAACCCAACCCAGCATTCGCAGATGTTTGCTGTTAAATCAGAGAATGTGTGCTTAAACGGGTGAGTGGATACACGAGTTAGTTGATTTTGATGTCCTGCCGGATGATGAGGATGACTGTTGTCACTGTTCCCAGCCTTGGTGGGTCTCTTTTTAAGACTGCTGGCATATCAGCCGAGAGGACGGAATTCAGAGGGATAAGGCTTGCAGGTCAGCAGGACGGCAGTGGGCTTCTGCTGCACCCAACACAAATGCGATAGTTATTTTAATAATATAGCCGAAGCATTAACGGTTACCGTGGATGGTCACAGTTTTCATATTTATAGGATATGCATGGAATCATTTCGTTAGTTTACCCAGATACATTTGTCAAATTCAAATATAATAGTTTTTGTACCTGTTTTTTTAAAGACTACCAATGATGTTTCTACCCCTATAAGCCCACTCTTTTGTTGTTTTTAGTAAAATATGCATTAACATAAAATCTACCAATTTGGCTATTTTTAAGTGTATAATTCAGTGGCATTAAATCCATTCACATTGTTTCGTTAACAATCACCACCATCCGTCTCCAGAACGTTTTCATCACTCCGAACTGACCCTCTGTCCCCGTGAAACACTAACTCCCCACCCCCTGGCGACCACCATTCTACTTCCTATCTCTGTGATTATACAGTATTGTCTCTTTGTGACTGGCTTATTTCATTCAGCGTGATTTATTTATATTTATTTAGCAAGGTTTATTCATGTTGTAGCCTGTGTCCAAATTTTCTTCTAGAGCTGTGTTCCTGGTCTGCTTTGAGGCTCAGCTCCAGCCACATATTTAAGGCTGAATAATCTCCCACTGTGTGTAAAGACCACTGTTTGTTCATCCGCTCTTTCACTGGTGGATACTGGGGTTGCTTCTGCATTTTGGCGATTGTGAATGACACTGCACCGTGTTACATTCCCACCATGAATGCACAAGGGTTCCGATTTCTCCACATCATCACCAACACATTATTTTCTGGTTTTTTTAAAAATAGATATATATAATAGCTATCCTAATGGGTATGGAGTGGTATCTCATTGTGTTCATTTGGCTTTTTGTTTTTATTCTTGTTTTGTTTTTTTGAGACAGGGTCTCACTGTTTTGCCCAGGCTAGAGTGCAGTGACGTCATCATAGCTCACTGCAGCCTCCATCTCTTGGCCTCAAACGATCCTCCCACCTCGGCCTCCCAAAGTGCTAGGATTACAGGTGTGAGCCACCACCATGCCCAGCCCTCATCGTGGTTTTATTTGCATTCCCTAACAATTAGAGATGTTTTCATGTGTTTATTGGGCATTCGTATATCTTCTTTGGAGAAATATCTATTCAAAGTCCTTTGCCCATTTTTTTGATTGGTTGGTTGTTTTTTGTTGCTGTTGAGTTGTAGTTCCTTGTATGTTCTATATATTTATTCCTTATAAGATATATGATTTGCAAATGTATTCTCCTGTTCCGTGGGTATGGTTGTGTCGGGTGCAAAGGAGTGATACCTTTCCTCCCCATTGTAAGGGTCACAACTGCCACTCCTATAACAAAAGGTAAACAAGAGAAAAACATGACAACTTCATTTAATCAGAGTTTTACTGGACAGGGGAGCCTTCAGAAATGAAGACGGGGGTGGGGGGTGGGACAGAAAAAAACAAAATGAAGACCCAAAGACCCAGGGGATAACTGTCTATTAATGGACATCCTTGTAGAAACACGATTGGAGAAAAGGTACGATCTGGCGCGACAGACTGAGGGAGACACCCGGCGAGGCCTGTCCGTGCAGATTCTTCCCGGCCTCCCAGGGCAGCATTCCTTCCTCCCAGGTGTGGGGCAGGACCCTCTGGAATGAAGATCTTCAAAGTAGAAGGGAGAAAGGAGAGAGGGACCAACTCTAGACTTTATGACTTGCTTTGGGGGAGAGGAGTTCTAGTTTCTGTGACCATCTGGGGTGGGGGGAAGAGAAATTCTGTGACTCCCTTCCGGGAAGAGAAGTGGACACAGGAGGGCAGGAGAAGGTCAGAGAGACCTTGCTCGGAGGCCCTTCCAATGTGACAGTCTGGGCTCCTGTCCCAATTTCAAAGAGAGACACAATTCTTTATTTATGCAACTCAAAGTAAGAGAATTCCTAAGAAAGCCCCAAACAGTGGTATTCATTTCAATTTGAATACATTAAGGGACGGACAGTTGTCTATTGTTTCATCAGCTGTCCTGGATTAAGATGGAACATCGTGGAATATTTAGGCAGTCTCATCCCACATGGTCTTACGAGAGCTGAAGAACTTTCTGTCCTGCATCATATTTTAAAGAGAATGTGGTGGCCGAGTGGGGCAAGGAAGTACCTGCAGACCGGAAACCATGCAACACTCTTCCCAATAGCCGCAGTGAGAACACAGGTGTTTCAGAGAAATATGTTAAATTATCAGGTGCAAGTGGTGTGTTAAGAAGCTCATTGTCATTGATAAATGAGTCCGGGAGGCAGAAAGATCTGGAAACAAGCTCTCCCGCGACCACTGAAACTGTAACAGGTAACATCGATTTCCTTTGCCAAGGCGTGTTTGCGAAAGTTAAGACTCAGCAATCATTGAACAAGCTGAGTCCGTCAGACAAGAAGAAATAAATAATAAACCCTCGACCTCAACCACGGGATGGTGGTAACAGATGGAATGAACTGACACCATTTTTGCTGAGTTGTATGTTCTCGTGCAATTTTATTTTTTTTAATAAAGGCAATTTATAAAACTGATGTGACCGGCTTAGGAGGTGGAAGCGTTCCATCCAAGGGCAGTAGCACAAGATGAAGAAAGGAAACTCCTGCTTGGGTGCGGGCTCTGGGAAACGTCCGCAGAGAGTGGGGAGCCCAGCGGGGTCCCACCCACGCCCCGGCTCACTAGGGGTGCGGGAGAACAGTGGGAGAATACGAGGGGACAGGGCTTCCAGGGGAGGTGGGAAGCAAGCAGTCCCCTCCTCTCCTTGCCATGTGCTTCTCTGTCCCCAGGACTTGGACTGACCCCGTCCCTGTGTTGGCCACAGCCCCTGGGCTCCTTCCAGGGCTTTGGGACAGTGAGTGTGGAGAAGGGACAGCAGCCAGCCTGGCAGGTGTCAGCCCCAAGGCCCCCTCCCCAAGCCCTGCGGTTCCCAGAGGGGACTCTGGGGCTCTGTGGGGGTCTCTTGCCATGGGCAGTGGAGCTGGCAGCCCTCGGGGACGGCCCCAAGCGCACAGACGCGCTCGTTCTCTCTCCCGCTGCCTGACTCCAGCCTGGGTGCCGTAACAGAGCACCATGGATCTGGCGACTTAAACACAGACATTTATTTTCTCACAGTTCTCAGGGCTGGAAGTCTGAGATCAAAGCGTCAGCAGGGCTGGTTTCTCCTGAGCCTCACTCCTTGGCTTGTAGACGGCCGTCTTCTCTGTGTCCTCATGTCACCCCCCTGCGTGTGTCTGTGTCCTCATCCCCTCTTCTCGTGAGGACACAGTCGTATTGGATTAGGGCCCTACTCTCTGCTTCAGCTACCAAGGTCCCGGCCTGTGTCCCTAACCGGTTTGTTCATGAACTGACGCGCAGGGACTCCGGCGGAACAGACCTGCACGTGCAACCTCCTCCAGGCGGGGGCACTGTGGCAGCCCCCACATTAAGATGCCCCCCCCAGGTCCCCCACATCACAGCCTCCCCTGATCCATGACGTTAAGGACCCAGTTTTGAGGCTCAGAGTGTCTTTGGCTCCAGAATCCCTAGGGTGGGGTCAGAGCTCAGGCAGCTTCCAGGTTTTACAGAAACCCTGCCCCCTCCCACCTTCTGGCCCAGAGGGGCCCGGGGCAGGGGCAGGTGTGACCTGTGGTTGGTTAACCCTTAGCCCTGCTGGGTGGAGCCTGTCCCAAAGCTGTCTTGATCCACCTTCGCCTTCCCAGCCCCAAAGCCCCTTGGCCTGAGGCAGCTGCGGACTCAACCGAGCCAGCCCAGCACCAAGGTCGCCCCAGCCCTGCGCCCGCTGCCTGGAGAGCCACTGACCGCTGCAGCCATGGTAGGCGCCCACAGTGCAGCCGGTTGGTCCAGCCAGGCTGCGTCCAGGCTGCGCCTGTGAGCCGGGCGTGGAAGGGCAAAATAGGCCAAACCTGGAACCTCTCGAATTGTACTTGAACCTCTGGGGAGGTCTTGGGGTTTTGGGGAGGCACGGGCCAGGGTTGGACTCCAGCACCTTCACTCGGTTGCTGCGTGAGCTTGGGGAAGTGACTTCACCTCTCTGGGCCTCGGTTTCTGCTCCTGAAAAGGGGAGTAATATTCCCTATTCACGGCATTACTATAAGGTCTACAAGAAGGAGGATCCCAGCACAGTGCCAGCAACACAGCGGGTGTCCAACAATCGGGAGTCTTGTCCCCAGGACGCCACAGCTGTGGGCCAAAAGCCATGGGAATGGCACTGCTGAGGAGTCCCCAGACAGGACGAGCCTGCTGAGAAAGCTGCAGGCCGGGCCGGGGCGGCTCACGCAGCCCCGCCCTGACCGCCGGTTCAGCGGAGCGCGCCTTCCACGCGCTGCAGCGAGGTGCCCAGGAGCAGCGGCTGGAGCCCGAGTCCCGCTTTCCGCGGCTCCTCGCTAAGAACGGGCGGAATTCTCCGCGCAGCCTGCCTGGCTGACCACACGGGGTCAAGGGAGATCATAGCAGGAGGCCTCTGCGGAGCCGTGTTTAACTGTCCCCGTGGCCCCAGAGGTGATTAGGTCAGAGAAGAGCCTGGGCTCAGTGCTGCAGCCTCGGCCTCCTGTCCCTGCCACGGTGGGGCGGGGGGTGGTCGGGGGACAGTAATGGGGTCGGGGCAGCCCACACCTGCCTATCTGCTAAGACATGGTGTTTTGCCTGGCACAGGTGCACGGGTACAAAGGGGTCAAGTTTGAAAACTGGGCGAGGACCTACGGCTGTTGCCCAGAGATGTACTATCAGCCCACGTCCGTGGAGGAGATCAGAGAGGTGAGTGTCTGTCTTGGCACAAGGCCTGGAATGGCCTGGCCCTGGAGGCCACAGCCCTGGGACCCAGAGAGGAGGCTGGGACATGGGACTTCCTGGGCTAAGGTCTTACCCCTGGCCAGAACTGCCGGCCAGGTGACAGCTCGATGACATCGGCTACACCCAGGACTCCTGCCCCCTCTTTCGCCCGCCGCAGCTCCACGCTGCAGCCATCTTACAACGTCCTGTGCCCCCTCCAGTCTGCGCAGCAAGGTGCTAACGTCCGTCAGGTTTGCGTTTCCAGCCCAGGTCTCCTCTCTGAGCTGCAGACTCAACAGACGACTTCTCTTGTTGTCTGACTCAAAGCCGTCACAAACTGAAATGCCCAAGACTGCGTTTTTGCCTTTGCTTTGCCTGAGGTCTGTCCCGTCTTGGTGCTGCCCATCTCTGTACGGGGTACACGGTTGCTTAAATCAAAAGGCCGGAAGTGGATCACGACCCCCCTTCACCTTGGTCTCACGTCCGCAATTCTACCTCCGATGTTTCCAGCACCCAGCGCCTTCTTTGCAGCACGATCTGGGCCCAGGCCACCCTCTGCTCCTCGTCCACTGTGACCCAGGAGGGCATCCGCCCTGGTCTCCCTGCCTCTAATCTTGCCTCCCTCGAATGCACTTAACATAGTCAGTAAAAGTAATTTTAACATAAGTGAGCTTGGGTTGCTTCCCTGCTTAAAGCCCTTCAGAGGCGTTCTGTTGTTTTTGGAATAAAACCCAAACTTGACTCCCAAGGTTGCATCATCTGGGCCTGTGTCTCCAGCCTCCCGAATGTGCCTCCTTCCCTGGCCCTCTGCCCGCAGCCAAACAAAGCAGGCTCAGTCCCACCTCGGGGCCTTTGCACTTGCTGTGTCCTCTGCCTGGAGTGCCGTCCCTTCGCTTTTCGCATGACTAGCTGCCTTCAGGTCTCAGGGTCAACTTCCCTTCAGAAGAGTCCACCTTACCCGGAACTTCTCTAGCTCAGCTCCTTGCCGTCTCCTCGCTGCGTATTTCTACCTGGCAATAATTTTGTCAGCTTGAACATTTCCTTGCTTTGGACTCTCTCCCTCATAAGGGGGTGAGCCCACGCTCTCTTCTCCACCGTGTCCTTACAAAGTCCAATTCAGCCACTGCCCCTGCCCTCGAGGACAGTGGGAGGCTGACTGGGGGATCTTGTAGGCAGAGATAAGGAGCCTAGATCTTGTCCTAAGCCGAGATGCCCTCGAAAGGCCGCGCACCTGGAAGGCCGCGCACCTGGAAGGCCGTGCACCTGGAAGGCCACGCACCTGGAAGGTCGCGCACCTGGAAGGCCGTGCACCTGGAGGGTCGTGCACCTGGAGGGCCGTGCACCGGCAAAGAATGCAATTGGGTTTGCCTTTAGGGAAGCCTCAGGCTGCCGTGGGAAGAGTCGATCGAAGCCTGGAACTTTAGGAGGGTTTCTTATTTCTCCAGCCCAGCTCACTTCCTGACCCTTCTTTCTGCCCCTCTTCCCTGGGGTGGCCGCACCACGGCCTGGAGCCAAGCAGGGGCCTGGGAGACCTGGGGTGCATCGCCTGGGCCGCCCACACCCCCTGCAGGCCAGGCCTGACCCTCGCACTCTGGCTGCCTCTCGGGGAAAGGCCTGACTCGAGCTCTGTCCCGGCAGGTGCTGGCCCTGGCCAGGCAGCAGAACAAGCGGGTGAAGGTGGTGGGCGGTGGCCACTCCCCCTCGGACATCGCCTGCACCGATGGCTTCATGATTCACATGGGCAAGATGAACCGGGTCCTCCAGGTACTCGGAGCCCCGGCTCCCCCTCCCTCCCCGCCGCCTGCCCTGGCCAGGCAGCCTCGGCCTCCATCCCAGGACCCCCTGCCCTGAGTCCCCAGAGTGACACCCCAATTCCTGGCCTGCCCCTGAGCACCCCTCACCCAAGCCCTCCCTGGGCTTGCTCAGTCCTCCTGTCAGGTCTGCCTGGCCCCCCGAGGCCACAGAGAGGATGTCCACCCTCCTCTCTTGCCACGGCCTCCCCTCCCCTTCTCAAGAACGGAAGCGGTGAGTAGGCTCCCAAAATAGACTCACAGTGACAAATCCAGAAGGGTGCAAAGTGGCACTTAGCTAGTTTTATAGATAGAGAAACTAAAGATCAGAGAGGGTGATTGACTTGCCTAGGGCCACACAGCTAATCAGTGGCAGAGCTGGGCACAGACTCAGGACTGATGCCAGCTCTGTGCTGGGACACTGTCCGTGCAATTCAGCCAGCACCTGGTGAGTAACCCCAGGTGCCTGCCAGCGAGTCGGGGTGTGGGACAGGTGTGCTGCACTTTAGGACTCCTGTTCTCACCTGCTGGGACCAGCTTCCTTCGGCTGTAATTTTTGCCAGATAACCTCCCTTTCCCCCAGCCCCGCTAGGGAGGTTCTGGGATTCTCTCCACTATTTCCTTGTTTGCTCAGGCTGACGGTCTCCACCTCTTAGAAAACGTTCCAGCCACGACATCAGTCATGGCCGTAATGAACTCTGATTGCTAATTAGTGAGGACTGGGTCCAGCAATTGATTTGACCGAGCAGCGGGACGAGCTTTCGCTTTGGAGTCTGACAGATGCGCATTCTCGTCTCAGTTCCGCCACTGATGTTTGTGTGACCTTGGACAAGTGACATCAAGTCCCAGATCTCGGTCCTCTCCCTGTTCCTGCTGCCCAGGGCTGCCGTGGGGATCTCCTGACATAGCACCCTTGCCCGCATGGCAGGCACCAAACAGACGTTAGGCTCCACCCCGCTCCCCCAGCCCAGTTCTTAGTCTTTGCCTGGGCCCCCCAGGGTGCGAACAAGCAGAGGATTTGGGCTCCCTACAGAGATGGGCCCTCTTTTGTTGGTGCCTTTGCACAACTGCACAAAGCAATCCCGCCTTCCCAGTGTAGGGGCACAGGTGTGGCCTCGTTTCCTTAACCTGTGAACAGAAACCTAACCCGAAGAAGAATCCCAACAACGCCGCAGCATTCTCAGGCTCCTGCAGGGGAGGTGGCTCAAGCTGCCCCCAGGCTGAAATGGACCTACTTGTCCTCCCAAGGAGCCTGGCAGCAGGGGTGTGGGCAGGGCGAAGTCCTGGCTCCTCCCAGCCTGGCTGGTCTCTTGCAGGTGGACAAGGAGAAGAAGCAGGTGACAGTAGAGGCTGGCATCCTCCTGGCTGACCTGCACCCCCAGCTGGACAAGCACGGCCTGGCCCTGTCCAAGTAAGAGCCCCTCCCCCACCCGCGGAGGGAGGTCTGCTCCCCTTGGGGATCCTCCCGGGCACACAGAGGCCACCCCTTACTCATGCCAGGGCCTGGAACTCCAGGCTGGGGGATGAGGCCTCTCTCCTGGAGGCCCCGGGGAGCCCCTGAAGGATTCTGAGCCACAGAGGTGACCCTCCCGGCTCAGGGAGGCCCTCACCTCCTCAAACCTTTCTGGGACGTTTATTTGCGCAGCTGGAACTGGGTCAGTTCCCAGGGATGCACCTTGACAGGCTGGGTACAGAGCAGTCTCGGCGGAGTGTTTTGGTCTCTGGTTGGTGAAGACGTTCTCGGAGGATCGAGGAGAGGGGTGTTTCAGGCTGTGGAGACCCCCAGAGTCAAGGCAGGCAGGCCTCCCCACAGACCAGAAGCAGGTCCCCACTGGCCCATCTGACGGCCCACGGAGACAAGGAAACTAGGGTGGAGAAGGGTCGGCACGTCGCAGGAGCTGAGTCGTGGAGATTTGGGACAGGGACCCAGGCGGGAGAGGAATCCCCTCTGCTGCCCTGTGGGGCTCACCCCTCACCCGCGTGTGCCTGTCTCCCAGGAAGCCTAACTGGTCTCTTGTGTCCCTCTTGCTCCCCCCGCCGAGCCAGCCTGGGCGCAGTGTCAGATGTGACCGCAGGTGGCGTCATCGGGACTGGAACGCACAACACGGGGATCCAGCATGGCATCCTGGCCACCCAGGTGAGCCTACCTGCTTCCTCGGCAACGTGGCCCAGCTCCACGGGGGCCTCAAGCCACCCCAGGTCTCCCCCTTTGGCGGAGACGGGACAGGTGCCCTCCAGCTCCGTCACCACCTTCTCCAAACCTCATTCAGCCCCACAGACACAGGGACGAAGGAGCCCTCGGGCGGGTCGGTGCCCTCCCACCCGAGCCCCTCAGGAGCCTCATAGCCGCCACGTGGGAAGGGGTGGGCGGGAAGGGGTCCCGTCGCCACTGACAGGTCAGAGCAGGGCAGGGGACGGGCTGTCCAGGTTAGCCATGCGGGCAGGGGCCGGGACAGGAGCCGGCACGTGGGCCTGGGGTCCCTGCTAAACCTTTATCGAAAAACATTTCTTCCACCTCACGAGAGTCCAGTCTGGGGAACTGGCTAAGGGCACAGGTTTGGGACTCAGGCCTGGGTTCAAACCTGGTCCCACCGTCACTGGCTATGACATTCAGGTAGGCCGCTTAAATTCTCTGGGCGTTCCTGTAAAAATCGTCATCTAAAACGGGGAAAACAATCCTCAACTCACAGAGAGCAAACGAGAGAGCGTATGTGAAGTGTGTGGCGTCCAGATGACAGTTCAGAGGATGTCTGCGTCCAAAGCCACCCTTGGGAGGGCAAACGCCACTGACGTCCAGTATTAAGAGGGGCTTCCTCTCGGGCCGGTCCGGAGCTGGCTGCTCACCTGTCAGCTTGGGTGAGACCCTGTGCTGGCACAGCGGTCCGCAGCCTGCGATATCATTTCTCTCCCCTGTGCAAGCCCTTTTGCAAGGGGGACATGTGGCCTCTGGCCACTGGAGCATCAGGGCTACGTGCTGGGCTTGGGTTTTGAATCTCAGCTCCGCCACTATTATCTGTGGGACCTGGGACAGGTCTCTGTACCTCTGGCTCCCTTGGTTTTCTCATGTGGAAAACAGGGTTGCTTATGGGAGCAATGCACATGGGGTGCTTAGAAGAGCGTACACAGTTAGTGCTTAATGCATGCTTGTGATGGGTTTTGCTTGTAAGACAAGGCCTTTTCCAGAGCCCACGCTCTGTGCTATGGTGAAACTTCAGCACTGGGCTTGGACTGCATGGGTCACCTACGTCGCCTCTGGACTATTCCAGCGATGGCTCTGCCTCCTGCGGCGGCTCTGATGGGGACAGGTGGCCGCACGAGCATTGTCCGCGCCTGACTTCTGGGCGCCGGGTGCCATGTGGTGCGGGCTCAGAGCAGCACTGACGTCAAAGGGAAACAGCCCAAAGGCAGTTTGGTTTTTTATTTGTATTTCTTGAACTCCGCGAAGGTAAACCTCATTCTCAGTGACGACTCCTTGAAACTCGCTCTGCTCTCTCGTGTGCACTGGCCGGTTACGCCTTGTCCTCCTCCCCCTTTCACCATGAAGCCTTAAAGAATCACCAGGCAAGAGGGGGTGTCCTGAGGGAATGCAGCCAGGAAGGGGGGCGCTGAGGCCACTCACTCCCGTCAGTCATTCCTGAGCCCTCCCCTGGTAAGAGCTTTGCAGCAAAGCGCAGAGAGACCTGTGGGTCCTGACTTCCTGAGCGCCAAGGACATTGTCATCTCCTCCTCGAAGCTGGGTCCGCTGCCCAAGAGAGTCCAGTGGTCACCGTGGGTGGGAAACGACATGAGAGCCACCCCCCTTCCCAAGATTTGGCCCCAGTCCCAGCTCACCATCCGGGACTGATGGTCAAATTGGTTGCCGTGGTTTCTACAAAGTGATCAGCAGAGGACGAGAGTCGTTCTGGGTGGCCACAGATCCAAATGCACTCAACACATACTGACCGCTTCTCCTAGGAAGCCCGGCTGAGTGGGCCTGGGGGCCAGCGGGGGAGGAGACCCCGGCTGTATTTCCCACCAGACGCCAACGGCAGGAGCAAGGGGAAGGGGTTGACGTCCACTGTGCAGTTCGGGGCACGTTCGGCGTTGTTCGTGCATCCGATCCTCACCACGGCCCTCTGAGGCCGTTATCACTGCTCTCCCCCTTTGGTAAAACAAGGAAACAGGCTTGTTTGGAAACATGCCGGAGGTTACACCCAGCGAGCAGATGGAGTGCCCACCCTTTGTGGGGTCCTGGGTCCTGTTGAAGCGTTTCCCAGCCAGCTCTCAGTCGCTGCCTGGATCTCATTGTAAAAATCACTGATGTCCTCAGCCCGCAGATGGCCACCGTGTCCCGTTTCTCCTCTCCGCTGTGTGCTCGCCACTAATCGGAATTAGTTCAGCTTTATCTGTTCTCTCACCCTGAGCATCCGGCCGCCAACCACGCGTGTCAGAAGCGATTCCCATCCAGACTAGCAGGCGGCGGAGTGTGGAGAAGGGCTTAGGCAGCGACGGAAGCGGTTTCCTCCCGAGATGGGGCCAAGGGCAAAGATGCGGAAGTTGTCAGTTTCCAGCTGAGCGTCCTGGTCTTTGCAGGAGCCCAAAGGCTCCTGGTTGGGTGTGGCTGAGTAGGAGGATCTAGTTCCTCGAGTGAGCGGGTCCCGGATGAGGGGAGGGACAGCTTGGCTGACACACCACCCAGGAGGAGCAGCAGGCAGAGAGCAGCATTGGGACCCTGGGTCCCAGCTGTGTGGGGACAGCGGGGTGGCCACCCCCAGGGGCACACACGTCCTCACTTTGCCTTCCCAGGCCCCTTCACCCAGGAGCTCACGGCCCTTCGCAGCCTGGTCTCCTCTCAGAGCCCCCGGCAGAGGAAGGCCCAGGGAGGACAAGCCAGCGGGGCCCTTGTAACCTCACACGGTGCCAGGCCCACCCAGACATAGTGTCCCTTCCCCCACCTCCCCTTTCTCCCTCCACACTGAGACTGAGACCTCCTGGGGTTGTGACAGTAGCCCGGCTGGAGGTCCCCTGTGGTCGGATAACAGAGGTCTTCTGGGAGCAGGTGACACCTGGCCTCTGTCTCGAGGACAAATGTGGAAGTGAGGGTAGTGGCCGGAAAGGGGGTGGTTCCGAAGTGTGGCTCTTCCCCCGCTGGCAGGTGGTGGCGCTGACGCTGCTGACGGCCGGCGGAACCGTCCTGGAGTGCTCCGAGTCCAGCAACGCGGAGGTGTTCCAGGCCGCGCGGGTGCACCTGGGATGCCTCGGGGTCATCCTCACCATCACGCTGCAGTGCGTGCCCCAGTTCCACTTGCAGGAGACGTCCTTCCCCTCAACCCTGAAAGAGGTACTGGTCCCCTGCTCCCCGCCACCAGCCTCAGAAAATAAACGGAGGACACTGCTGCGCTGGCAGCCGCCACGGCTCTGCAGCCCCCTGAATGGGGAGGGGCCTGAGCTCGCCACCCCTGTCCTGGCCCTGGGGGCCACACCCTGCTGAGCGGGTTAGTGAAGCCCAGAGGAGCTGCAGGGGCTGGCAGAGGTATGGGCAAGAGGGTGCTGGGTGGAGACTTGCCACAGGCGGGGTGCCAGTGACTGCTCTGTGCAGGGTGTTGACTCTCAGCTGCCCAGAGCCAGAGGTTGTGCCCGGGGCTCCCTTTGCAGTGTTTCTTCACAGCAAGTGGCTGGAGCCACTTTCAGGCTTGCTGGGTGCCCAAGGTTACATGCAGGGTATTTGGATCTAGATGATGAACAGCAGGAAGGATGGCCTGTAGTTGGTGGCAGTGCTGTCTGAACAAATGGAAAGTCGTGTTGGTTGGATGGATGGATGGATGGATGGATAGGTGGGTGGGTGGATGGATGGATAGATGGTCAGATGGATAGACGGACAATGGATGATGGATGGGTGGGTGGGTGGATGGAGGATGGCTGGATGGATGGATAATGGGTGTGTGGGTGGGTGGATGGATAGATAGATGGTCAGATGGATAGACGGATAATGGATGATGGATGGGTGTATGGGTGGATGGGGGATGGATGGATGGATGGATGGTATGCAACAAGCCTCGAAGGCCTGGAAGGCCTGGAAGGCCTGGATCATCCCTGGCAAGCTACAGGACTCAACTCTGTGGTTTCAAGTTCCTTGGAGTTCGGGTTCTTCTGTATCACCTATCATTCAACATGAGCAGGTCCTCTGCACAGATGGAGTTGGCAGTGGTGTGAGCAGTACTGACCTGACATGCTTAAATTAAGGTGGCCTTTGAAATCAAATGGACCTGGCCTTGAATGCTGGCTCTGCCAGTTGCAAGCTGTGACCTTGAGCCAGTCATTTAACCTCTCTGAGGCTTAGTTTCCCCAGCTACGAAGACAGTTCATAATGTCTACCTTGAAGTATTGAATCCGAGGATTCCATCAGATAACGCATGCAAGATGTCTAGCTGAGCATTAAAGCATGCCCCCATGACTTTTGGTAGGTGGCACAGGGAAACTGTCATTATCTAGTACCTGGTTTAAAAATCTGCAATTTCTAGTGCATTAAGCCTCAGGGCAAAGGCCTTAAACCCAGAAGCGCTCCTACTCAGAGGCATGAGTTTGGTGGAAATCTCTCCCCGGAACTCCCGATTGGTGGCTGAGAAGGTGGTTCCCACAGGCCACAGACAAGGACAGCTGCCTGAGGCAGTGGCCTTGTCAGCCCCTGTGCAGCGAATGGCCCCACGGCTCATTTGCTTTTGCCGTGGCCGCCCAGAGCAGCCTTTGCAGGGCGCCTGCGAGGCTGAGAGCACTGGGGAGAAACAGGAGGCGGAGCTACGCTGCAGGTGGAAGACACAACCCCGCCTGCTCCTCTCCAAGGAAACAGCCCCGAAAAGGAGCAAGAGGACAGAGCGAGCATCTGAGCAGCTTCTCCTCACTCTTGCTATGCCTGGGTTTTTCCCTCGAATCACTCGCTTAGGGGCCGCAGAGAATCCCGTACCTCGCCCGGCACAGGTGTCATGGAATGGAAAACCCACCCCAGGCAGGAAGCTGGACCTGCCTCTCTCAGGCCCCAGAGCTGAGAAAAGGGCACCATGACATTTGCTGCTGGGATTCTGGACTCCATTCCAGAACTTACTGCAAGACACAGCTGCCTGTCAAACCCCAAATCTGTCTATACTTTCGCTCAAAACTCGTCCTGTATCAGATTGATGGGTTTCAGGGAGACATGATTTGCTTCATGAGATTGGATGTGCAATGATTAGCCACATCAGAGCAGGACTCTCCTGTTCACTTTATTAAGGACCCACTACGTGTGAAGGGATAAGAGATGACGATGACGATGACAGCAATGTAAGAGCAATAGTGCTAGGAGCCGCAGCTTGCACCTGTGTGGTGCTTAACATGTGTCTGGCACCATTTTAAACACTTTTAGGCATTATCTCATTTAATACTCATGACTGGCCTGACATGAACACTGTTAATAGCCCCATTTTACAGATGAGAAACCTGAGACCAGCAATATTCAATAACTTGCCAAAACTCACACAGCAAGTAATTGCTCAAGCCAGGACAAATAAGAAGTCACTTGTATCCTCTAAGCTGCTCAGGGACGTCACCATGTACGTGGGCCATTTTAATGCCCAGTGGTTTATAACATTCATTCCCTGCCGTTTGGCAGTGTTAGGACGCTTCTAAGTATTTTCATTTGATAAGGAGAAACCGAGGCACGCCCGGGCCCTGACTTCCAGTACTCCCTGCCATCTTGCCGTGACCAACGCAGTTTCTCCCCCCCCCCCTCCCCCCGCGCGGAGGACAGGTCCTCGACAACCTGGACAGCCACCTGAAGAAATCCGAGTACTTCCGCTTCCTCTGGTTCCCGCACAGCGAGAACGTCAGCGTCATCTACCAGGACCACACCAGCAAGGTAGCCGCGGCGGCGCCCGTCCCCACCCGGTGTCCCGGGGCAGGTGGCTGCCAGTGACTTGCACGTCCCCTCCCCGTCCTCACCCACAGGCTACAGGCCACACAGCCGTCCACTCCCAGAGTGGCTGACACTTTGTGGTCATTGTGGTGGTCAGTGGGATGACAGCAGGACAGAGGGGAGTGTCACTGAGTGCAGGGGAGACGCAGAAAGGCCGAGGGTGGAAGAAGGAAGGAAGGGGGGCAGAGTGGGGGTCCAGTGTGTCTGCAGTGGGGACAAGTCGGGGTGTGGCCAAGGGACAGCCTGGATATGGGGGAGGGGGCAGGTAGGACAGGAGAGGGTAGATTAGAGTCCCGGATGCCTGGGCCAGACCCCAAAAACCGCCCCACTTCCCTGCTCCAGTTGTGCAGTGGGACAGACGGATGGTTTTGTCTCCCCGCGCGTCCTTAGCAAGCAGGCTGCTTCTCAGCAGGAGAAAGCAAAGCAGCCCATGGGGTGACTGTTGCTGGGGCAAGTCAGACAAAGGCCGTGACACCTGCCACGCAGAGGAGGCCGGTGTGGGGTTGGCAAAGGGTAATCACTGGACACCCGGCTGGGGCGGGGCACACCTTTTTCTTGTGCAAAATAAATACATAAATAAAATGTAAAAGCATAAAATGAAAGGGGGTGGGGTGGGAATTGGCTCTGCCACCAAGAAGTGAGGCTTTCAATCATCCTGGTGGGTGGGTCACCCCTCCCTCCCCTCCCCTCCCCCACACAGAGCTGGGACACAGCTCCCTCTCCCGGGACACTCACGGGACAGGCCAACATGCGTGTTCGGAAGGCAGCTCAGCTCTGGCCCCAAACTGATGACAAATTCTGCTTCCCAGCCGCCCTCCTCTTCGGCCAACTGGTTTTGGGACTACGCCGTCGGATTCTATTTACTGGAGTTCCTGCTGTGGATCAGGTAGGAATGCCAAGGGGCCTTTCCGGGCATCTGCCACGTGCAGTTGAGGATGTGGCACATGGGAATAGTCACACCTGTAGCTGGTGCATGCACGTGGAGTCTGTCTCCTGGCTCTAGGTGATGCGTGCGATGGGGAGCGGCTGTAAATACAGATGAAGCTTCGCTCACTCAGTGGCCGCTCACCTCCTGCTCTGTGACTGGGTTCCTAACAGGCCATGGACCGTTTCGCATCTGCGTCTCGGGGATTGGGGACCACGGGTTTAAACCATCTGTAGATTACCTGGAATATCTAATACTCTGCCTACATATCATTTCATTCATGTGGATTCAATGTATTACTTGGCAAATGGCAAATTCAAGTTTTGCTTTTTGGAAGTTTGTAGGATTGTTTTTCCTAAATATTTCTGATCTGCGGTTGGATGAATCCATGGATGTGGAACCCACAGATAGGTAGGGCCAGCTATAAATTCACAACAAGACTTGCTATGAACCTATCTGCTAGGCAGGTCCTCCCACCCTGTCTTTTTCCGGAAGTGTCTTGGTTGCTTCCGACCTGCCGCAGGAACGCTAGCTGACACCCCTGCCTGGCCCCGTCCCAGGCGTCCTGGAATTCTCTGAGCACCGCAGTGTGTCCGGCACGGAAGGCTGCGGGTAGGTGCCGCAGCTTCCGCCCGATTACACACTTTGTAATTCCTTTTCTGATGTCAGCTCAGGTCACATCCACTGACGGTCACACCCGGGTGAGTGGGCAGCAGCCCGGTTAGCAGTAAAGGGTTGGGTGTGCTGAGTGTTGCAGCGCAGGTACTGCACCGACTGCTCTGTGTGTGTTTGGACCCACAAAGAGGACAAACTGCCTGGGGAAGGTGCTAGAAAGTGAAACACAGGAAGCGACTTGTTGGATCTGGGCAGGCGAGGGCCAAGGAGCCTGAGGGAGTCCGGCCATCGCTCCATCGGGGTGGTGGATGTGGGGTGCGAGTGGAAAGGGCCCCATCGGCTTTCTCCCGGGGCCTCGGCTGCCATCACGACAGCTCGGCAGCTTCATGTGCGAGCGTCTGCAGAGCCCGGGCCCCGGCAGTGTCCAGATAAATTGGACTCTAAATCACAGCTGCCCCGTGCAGCCAGCGGCCGGAACCTCCGAGCAAGGTCCAGGGCCTCTGAGCCCAACTTATGTGGCTCCAGCTCAGGGGCTTCGGGGAGCTCTGTCCACCCGGCCCTGTCCCTGCAGCTCCAGACGGCCACCGGGCTGTGTCCCTGAGGGTGCGGGAGTGAAACACTAAGCTTGGATCTGGCCATTGGTGGGGTGCTGGCTGCTTGCCCCGAGACCGTACCACTGAGGACGGGGACCTGTCTGTGCCGTTACGCTCCATCCCTCCAGAAGAGGCGAGAGCTGCAGCGGGAGGGATTAGCGCCAGCTCCACTCAGCGGGACCCAGGGAAGCCTTTGGCCACCTGGCCTCATGGGCAGCTCACTCCCTCGGGGCCCAGAGCTGGCAGGAGCCGAGTTTGTGAACGGGATGGCTGGACGGGCCTCCTCCCAGCCGTCCCCACACCAGCCCCCAGGCCTTGCCCCTCTGTCCCCTGCCCCAGGGAGCTCTTGGCTGCAGATCTGAGGCCGCCTTCCCCGAGGCTGCCTTTAGCCCCCGTTCACGAGGCTCTCCACCGTTAGTATGCAGAAGACGGCACCATATAACCTTGCGTCGCTCACCTCCCTGATGATCCTGCGTCCCTGAGCCTTGAGGGGGAGCCTGGGCTTCGGGGCATCGGGCAGACCCAGCGGGAATCGATGCCGCGGTGACCCCGTCCATCAAATGCAGACGTAGGTGCCGCGTCTGGCGCTGCACCAGCAGTAAGAGTGCTGGATGTTTCCTTGGCTTTTATCTTATCTACAGTGAACGGTCAGTCCTTTTATAAAGAGAGAGAAAAAAAGTATGTGTGTGTGTAAATTTTGATAACCACGACTTGGCGAGTGAGCGTCTAAGCAGCACGCGGGTATCTGGGTTGCGCGCTCCTCATGAGAAATGGTCCGAAACCACCCTCCCCCGACCCCAGTCCATAGAAAAATTGTCTTCCTTGAAACTGGTCCCTGATGCCAAAAGCTGTCTAAGGGACAGCTGCCTTAGAGCAATGTTCGCGTGGCCCGGAGGCATTCCCAGCTGTGGAGAAGCGACCAAGGACAGCCAAACGGCAGAGTGTATTGAGAACAAGGCCCTGGTTTGTAAAGAGTTCAGCTCAGCACCCATCATGCAGCTGGCGCTCAATAAGTGCCGGGTACCAAGGCTGTCATGCACCGCCCCACCCAGCCCTGACACCCTCTGCCCTGTTGCCTGCAGCACCTTCCTGCCGTGCCTCGTGGGCTGGATCAACCGCTTTTTCTTCTGGCTCCTGTTCAACTGCAGGAGGGAGCACAGCGACCTCAGCCACAAGGTGTTCACCTACGAGTGCCGCTTCAGGCAGCACGTGCAGGACTGGGCCATCCCCAGGTAGGCTTTGCCCCGTGGCCGGCGGCCGTGCGTTTCCTAGAGCCGGCCCTCCCTTGGATGCCGTCCTCACCACGGCCCTAGCGGGCTCAGTGCCAGGCCCCGAGTGCCGTCCCCTTTCTGTGGATGGCCACAGGCTCTGAGTCCTCTCCTGGTGTCCCCGGGACCCCACCTCTCTGCCTCATGGGGAAAACCAGCCACACAGTCCCTCCCTCCCCCTCCCGCCCCGTCCAGCCGTGAGGGTTCGGGTTTGGAGCGTGGGGCTCCCTGGCCAGCTTGTCTGTCTGAAAGGCCACCACTGCTTCCCATCCCTCAGCTGGCAGAGCCCACCCAGCATGCTGGGAGCTACCAACCTCTGTGGCTTCCTAACTTCACCCTCGTCCCTTTCTCCAGGGAAGGAGGGGTGGTGCCTGGGGCTCAGGGGATCCTCTGTTACTGAGTTCAAGGGCTTGGCCCGCCGACCCTCCACGTGGGACTATTAGTTAAGAGTATTAGAGTCAGAGGGACTTTACTCTGTCTGAAGCAGAGGACACCAAGGGACCTGAGACAACTGTGGCCAGAGATCTGGGGGTGTCCCAGGTGCACCCAAGGCAGGGCAAGACACCACGAAGCTGGGAGCCCGGGCAGAGCCTGGGGGAGGGCTCCTGGCGGTCCCTCCCCGCCCTGAGGTCCGGATTCTGTCCCCGGGGCTGAGTGCAGAGAGAAGACCAAGGAGGCCCTGCTGGAGCTGAAGACCATGCTGGAAGCCCACCCCAAGGTGGTGGCCCACTTCCCCGTGGAGGTGCGCTTCACCCGGGGGGATGACATCCTGCTGAGCCCCTGCTTCCAGCGGGACAGCTGCTACATGAACATCATCATGTACAGGTGACGGCACGTGGAGGGGCAGGGGTGGGGCGGGAAACCATCCCCTCCGGTCTAAAAGGGCCCCTCTCCTTCCCTAGTCTTTTGATGCCAGTTCTAATGTCACCTTCTCTGGGGGGACTTCGCTGATCCTGGCAGCAGGGGACAGTGTCTCTCTCCTTTGAGTTCCTACAGCTCTCCCTCTCTGTAGACTCTTACTGCATGCACCGTTTCTAGTCTATATCATGTCAGCGTAATAATTAGTATGAATTCTTAAGTAGTATTAATAGGAGTAGCTGCCATTTATGAAGCTGATATGATGGGATGGCAAATACAGTCTATCTCACGTGCCTGCTGGAGCCGGCGGTTCTGACAGCCTGGAGCGCTGTGTTGAGAAGGACTCTGGGGCCAGGTTGAAGGTCAGCAGGAGGGAGGATCATACTTGACGCCAGGTGCTACATGGATGCGTTTCCCATCCAACCAGCCCTGTGGGCCACCGTGCTGTCACCCGCGTCCGTGACTGTGTTACCTTTTCCTAGTTGGTTAGGCAGTGGTCCCCGGGATGATGCTTCTAGACACAGGTGGTTTAAGAAGCTGGTCTTTTCCTAAAGCTTCTTACCTAAGGTGTGTCTTCCTCCTGCCTCTCCTCACCCACCTTCCCTTCCTAACAGCCCTTCCCTGACTTTGCACAAGGAAACACCCTCCCCTGAATCCTGAATCTTGCTGTGGGGCATTTCTCCAAACTTCTAAGGGCCCCAAGGGACGATGAAAGGATGCACCCATCGTTCCCGAGGGGAGTCCAACAACGCCAGACGAGAGAGTTTCTGAAAGACACATCGACGGGGCTGCAGTCATCTCACAGTGGGGCGGCTGTGGAGTGGCTCAGAACTCATCTGTCCATCTGCCCGTCTGTCTGTCTGTCTCCTCCCCTACCCGTGAATTCATATTCAGAAGTGAGACAGTTGCCATGGGGATGCACCTTAACATGTTTATTTGAATCTTTAAAAATGAAATCAGACTTTTTCCATCAGTCGGTCTGACCTGGCGTCTGAGTGCTGCCTGGGGTTGCCAGGTGGGTCACACGGCCACGTTTTTTATGCATCAGGTAAGAGTCCAAGGCTTTGTCAAAGAGACATCTAAAGTAGCATGTGATTCTTCGAGGTTACTAAAACTCACAGTAACTTTCACACACTTTTTTGGAATCCTTTGAGGATGAGCAATGAGCAAAGCCCTTTGTGTCAAGTTGGGGACAGAACCACACAAGGCCCACCCATATCCCCAGACAAGTGCCAGCTGCTGCGTGGAGAAGGTGCCCAGTGACTGCAGGAGGGGCGACGCAGGCAGGGGCAGGGCTCACGTCCTTCTTCCCCCTAACCAGGCCCTACGGCAAGGACGTGCCACGGCTGGACTACTGGGTGGCCTACGAGACCATCATGAAGAAGGTTGGCGGCAGGCCCCACTGGGCCAAGGTAGGACTTGCCCCAGGGTCTGGCAGCTGCTATGCGATGCAGCCTCCACCAGAGGGCGCCGCTGCTCCCTGCCGGCCGCCTCCCCACCCTTCCACCCTGCCCCAGCCTTGGGGGCTGCAGGTCAGGAGCGGCTGAGCCCAGACCACCCCCTGCTGCCCAGACCACCCCCTGCTGCCCAGACCACTTCTCCTGCCCAAGCTCTTGTTCTGACAGCCCAGGGACTGTGATGCCTTCAGAGTTTTCACAGAAATTCATCTTCCGCTGTATCTGATTCCCATAGAAACCCTCTGAGCAGGATAAGGCAGGCATCCTGAGCCCATTTAACAGATGGGAAAGTGAAGGTTGCTCAGGGGTGGCAGGACTGACTTACTGATGAGCAGTGGGACTGGGGCCAGAGCCACCTCCGCTGAGTCATGCAGCCAGTAGCAGTGGCCATGAGGAGTGCGGTGCCACCTGCTCCCACCTGCCTTCTTCACTCTCTGAGCAGCCCCTCCTTTTTATCTGGGTCTCTACATTGTGAGCGTGTCCTAAGGCAAGGGTGTCTGGTTGCTTCCACAGGCACACAACTGCACCCGGAGTGACTTTGAGAAAATGTATCCTGCCTTTCCAAAGTTCTGTGCCATCCGAGAAAAGCTGGACCCCACCGGGATGTTCCTGAACTCGTATCTGGAGAAGGTGTTCTACTGAACGGGGGCAGGAAGCCAGCGGCCCCCGCCAAGGGGAGCCGATCTCCCCCTCCCCAACCCCATGTGATGAGCTGAGCTCCGGCAGCCCCTTCCCTCACGTCCTTTGTCCTCACAGCACCCCCAGCTGGAGGTGGCCTAGCACCCAAATCCCTCTTTACAGCTCAAATAGACCCCACGTCCCAAGCCTGCAATCACTGTGCTCTGTTTTCGCAGGAGAAGGGGGCACCCTAACTTGTTCCATAGTCAAGGGGGGCAGGGACTTGGTAGTTCGCGGGTTCCGACCGGGTGTGGAAGTGAAATTCCCGGGGTCTGTAGCTCCAGGGGTTCCCTCTCCAGCCCTCATGGGAAGGGGGGGCCCCTCCACAGTGTTTGGGCCCAGAGGTCGTGTGCACCGGGCTCTGCTTTCTCTCACTCGTGAGGGTCTTTCAGACGCTCAGGTGAGTGCCCACCTGCCCTGGGACCGCCCCCTTCCAGGTGGGCCTGGCTGTGTGCCCTCCCGTGGCCGGACCTGCAGCATGTCTGTGTCAGGGGTGTCTGGGGATTGGGACCCTCTGTGGCTTCTTCTTAATAAAGACTAAGAATCAATCCCTCTCTGTTCCCTGCTCTTCACAGCCCAGGCAATGCTTTGCCAGCAGGAGGCCTCCCTCCTAGGGTAACAGGTCTTGGATTTGCCTAGGAAATGCTTCTCATATTCCTTTTATTGAGCTTAGCTACAATTTGTCTCCGACCTGCCACACTTCATGGACTCCACGGAGCCTGTTCCTCGATCCTCTACTACGCACCAAGTGCTGTAGGGGAATTCAAAGAATCTTAAGAGAGGTTCCTGCCCTCGAGAAATCTGTCTCCTAATGGTTTCTCTCTTGCGGGGTTAATATCCAGAATACATAGAGAACTCCAACAACTCACCAACAAAAATACGAACACCCCAATCAAAAAAGCGGGCTAAGGATTTGAATGGACGTTTCTCTAAAAAAGAGATACAAATGGCCAATAAGCACATGAAAAGGTGCTCGACATCACTACTCATTAGGGAAATGAAAATAAAACCACAAGGAGATACCGCTTCACACCCGTGTGAATCAGTATTATAAGGCAAAAAAAAAAAACCCCAGAAAATAACAAGTATTAGGATATGAAGAAATTGGAACCCTGTGCTTTGCTGGTGGAAGAATATAAAATGGTATGGTGGTTCCTTAAAAAATGGAACAGAATTGCCGTATGACCCAGAAATTCCAATTCTGGGGATATACCCAGAATAACTGAAAGCAGGATGCCAAGGGGACATTTGTACACCCGTGTTCAGAGCAGCATTGTTTATAATCGTCACGGTGTGGGAGCAACCCCAAAATGTTCATCAGCAAATGAATGGATAAACAAAAATATAGTCTATTCATACAACGGAACGTTAGTCTTAAAAAGGAAGGGAATTCTGACACATGCTACAATATGAACCTTGAGGGCATTGTGCTAAGTGCCATAAGCCAGACACGAAAGGCCAGATCCTGTGTGATTCCACTTATACGAGGGCCCCAGCGTAAGCACAGTCAGAGACGGACGAAGTAGAAGAGTGGTTCCCACAGCTGCGGGGAGGGGCCTGGTCTAATGGGTGCAAAGCTTCAGCTGGGGAAGATGAGCG